TGTCGCTCTAGCCACTGAGCAAAACTGGCCTGGGCTGGCATGACTTTTTAAAATATACTTTATTGATTTTAGAGAGAGGAAGAGGGAGGGAGAGAGAGAGGGAGGGACATTGATGACAGAGAGAGAAATATTAATTGGATCCCTTCTGTATGCACCATGACGGGATCCAACCCACAACCTGGGCATGTGCCTTAACATGCACCATGACTGGGGATCCAACCCACAACCTGGGCATGTGCCTTAACCGGGAATCGAACCAGTAACCTTTTGGTGCATGGAGCGATGCTCAATCAACTGGCAAGAGCTAGCTTGGTCTTTCTTTGTTTGTTTGTTTTGTGAATCCTCACCCGAGGCCATTTTCCCATTGATTTTTAGAGAGAGAGGGAAAGGGAGAGAAACATTGCTATGAGAGAAACACATGGATGGTTGCTGCCTGCAGGAGCACTAACCGTGGCCCAGGCCAGGGAGGAGCCTGCACCCGAGGGACCTGCCCTTGACCGGAATCAAACCCGGGACTGCAGGCCGACGCTTTATCCACTGAGCCAAACCTGCGATGGTTAGCTTGCTATTTTATTTTATTTTTAATATCTTTTTATTGATTTTAGAGAGGAAGGGAGAGGGAGCTAGAAACATCATTGATGAGAGAGAATCATGGATCGGCTGCCTCCTGCACGCCCCCTAGTGGGGATTGAACCTGCAACCCAGGCCTGTGCCCTTGACTGGAATCGAACCCAGGACCATTCAGTCTGCAGGCCAACGCTCTATCCACTGAGCCAACCCGGCTAGGATTAGCTTGCTATTTTAAAGGAGATAAAGGTTAGGACTTCGGGTTGTTACCTTCTGGACAAGATCAGCACCTTTCCAGCACTGGGACCACAGCCGCCCCTCCTGCTGGCCGGACAGACAGCACCGATGACTCAGGATGCAGGCAGCACTCATTGATAGCAACATCCTTCCCCACTGAGCACAAGTTCAAACTCCTTATCAGCGCGGTGGGTGCTCGGGGCAGCCGCGGGGCATGGCTGCATCTCGACAAGGCAGCGGAAAGCCATTTGCCATCCCAAACCTTGAGCATGCCCGCCCCAAATTCCTGAAACCACTGGAAATGACTCAGCAGAGTTCCCCCAGGGAGTCGGGGCCCTGCTGAGCCTTCATTCTTTCCTGCGAACCTACACCCCACCTCCTCGAACTCTCCCTGTTCCAGAAGGTCCTGCTAGCCCATCCCCGCCCCCTTAGTTACCGAGCCAGAAACGGGAGCCCCAGCGATGAAAAAGTCTCGCTCCGGGTCACAGAAGGAGTTTGCATCCAATTCCTAAAATGTAGCCGCTCGGAGAGCAGACCCTGGGGTGAGACAGACCTGGGTGTGAATTCTCCTTTGCATCTGACCAGCGGGACCTCCCTGAGTCTCAGTTTCTCCATCTGCAAAATGGGCTCCAAGGAATGCCCAGTGCCCAGGAGAATCCAATCGGGTAATCAATGCAGAGAGCTGAGCACGTGTCTGTGTCTGCCACCCAATGCCAGCTTGGTAAGTGTGGGTGTGGCTGACGTCCTGAGGGTCCCCGGGATGTTGTCCTGTACAACAGAAGGTCCCAGGTTCAATTTCCGGTCAGGGCACGCGACCGGGTTGCGAGTTTGAGGCAACCCAATCGATGATTCTCTCTCACATCAATGTTTCTCTCTGTCTCTTTCTCTCTCCCTTCCTCTTTCTCTAAAATCAATAAAAACATATTTTCGGGTGATGATTTAAAAACAACTGCCCTAGCTGGTGTGGCTCAGTGGATAGAGTGTCAGCCTGCGGACTGAAGGGTCCCAGGTTCAATTCTGGTCAAGGACATGTGCCTTGGTTGCAGGCAAATCCCAGTAGGGGGTGTGCAGGAGGCAGCTGATCTGTTTCTCTCTCATCGATGTTTCTAGCTCTCTCCCTTCCTCTCTGAAATCACTAAAAATATATTTAAAAAAAAACAAGAGATAAACCAGTTATATACTTATACGCATGGCCCATGGACACCATCAATAGGGTGTTGAAGACCTGGGGGTGGGGAGCAGTTGGGAGGGACTGGGGCAGGGGGAAAGGGAAAGAAAATGGGAGATATCTGCAATACCATCAACAATAAAAATATATCTTTAAAAGAAAAACCTGAAAAAATAATAAAACTAAAAAATATTAAATTAAAAAAAAATAACAATAAAAACCCAAACAATAAAAACACAGAACTGATGGGCTAGCACTGTGTGGTGTTTCACTAGTAAACACATCTCAAGAACAAGTTTTTTCAAACATTCAGGCTGTTTTTAGTCCCTCAGTGTAGACGGTGAGATCACAGGTCTGAGCCCAGT